TACTCCAATCGATATTTGGTCAGTTGGTGGAATTTTTGGCGAATTATTGTTAATGTTAGTTGCTGTCGTACTTTAGTAGAAAATTTTGAACTTCTGATTGGGTTTCTTTTTCTTTCAGGAAGCCATTGTTTCCAGGAAAGTCAGAAGTTGATCAACTGAACAGAATTTTTAAAGTAAGTTAACTCAAGTGAGAGTTTAACGAGATATTGCATCATTAAGGATTTGATTAAAAGTTAGTAACAATTAAACTCACTCTCAACTCGACTTTTTTTTCAGGATCTGGGTACGCCAAATGAAAAAATTTGGCCTGATTATAATAACTTACCAAATACAAAAAAGACGACCTTTTCCAATTATCCCTACAATCGTTTAAGAGCAAGATTTGATAATTCATTATCCGAAAAAGGATTTGACTTGATTAACAAGTAAGACTTAAACTATTTTCGGTATTGATTTGTGCACGTGCTCAGACTTCGTTTTTGTTCAGATTTTTAACATATGATCCATCAAAACGTATTACAGCTGAATTAGCTCTTAAACACACGTATTTTGACGAATCTCCAAGACCCATAGAACCATCGATGTTTCCCACGTGGCCATCGCGTAATGAAGAAAAAGATAAAATACCGGGACGAATGGGTACAAATAATGAACCAAAACCGCCGTCGGCGGGAAAAATGTATGAAAAATTACTGGTATGTAAACAAAATAGAATTTGGTACCTTTCAAGTAAATTTTCATTAGAAATGTTTGACCTTAGGTTGTAGAATAAAAATTTTCTCATAAAAACAGATCAAAATTTTTAAAAATAAACTATAAACTTTGCGAAAAACTCATCTCATTTTTTCTAGTCTAGTATACGCCATTGTTTCCTTGTTAAGAATCAGCGAAATTTTTGTTTCATTTTTTTTAGGGTGTCGATGAAGATATTAATTATCATTTATTACAACCCGAACAGTCAATTGGTTTTCAACTTCGAGGTTAAGTATTGTACCCACTATTATTTTTTGTATTTGTCATAGTTTCGATATATGTTTTTTGTTATATTTTGAAGTCAAAATTTTTGTCTTTTTCTGCAATTTCCGGTTTATGATGTACAAACTTTCTTTTTCCGTGTAATATGATCACGTTTCTCTGTTTATTCTTTTTTCGTATGAATAATTGCGATGAATTATGAAACTTGTTTTTAAAAACAAACAAGATATTGTATATATCCTGAAAACTATAATTAACAAAGAAATATTCAACATTTATTCACTTTCGATGTTATGTAGCATGAGCCTACTGGTATGAATGTATGGAAAGAATTAAAAATCTATCTTTATTTTTAAAAGAAAATGATAATTCTGCATGATATATCTACATTTCTTCATATAATAGTTGAATTATCCTTCTTAAAACTCTCAGCATACTAAAAAATCAACCAATAGTTTCGCCGAGCAAAATAATAGAATAACTGCATTAGTACTGTGCTGCATTAGTACTATGCTGAGCATGCATGATACTCATGTCACATTACTAAAGATATAAAACATGTATTAACGTATATTTTAATTAAATATGTATTATTTTAAGAAATAATAACCACAATCATCAGCTCAGGCTCTTCCATGATACTTTTTCTGTAGTTTCCAATACAGTAAAGATTTAACAACAGTGCCCGTCCATAAAGGCAGAAAAATCGGTGATATTTTAATTAATTACATTTTTATTGCTGTAATTCCTTCCATGCATCCTTACTATGTTTCTTGTATCATACTGTTCTTGCGATTGATTGTCAAAATCAATAATAGCTATTGCGGAAATCACTGTGCTATACCTTTGATATGTGCAGGTCACAAGCAAACAATTCAAGTCTTTCATAATACCAATATATTGTTATCAAAAGATCGATTGTCACTTGGATGAAATCATAAAGTAGCCAATTACTAACAAAAGTTCCTAAAAAATCCAGAAAAACTGCTGTTAAGAATTCTTTCCAAAAAATTTTCCAGGATTCTCAACTAGAGATAGAATACTAAATTTTATTTGTTTCATGATAATCTTAGTGTACAAGGCCAACAAATTTCTTTCATTGATCGTTTGTTTGTTTAAGTATAGAGCTTAATTGACATTTTAATTCAATAATAGTATTCAATAGTAGTATATAATAATATTTACTTCAATAAGTAAATTTTTGACGTATGATGTGGTTATTTGTGTTGAACAATATTATGAATATACTTTGACCGAATTTGTCAGTACTTTTGCATGCATAGTTGATGTTGCCAAAGTAATTCCAAAATGTATTTTTCTAACTTGTCTAACTTCACAACGTCTACCCACAAATAGTTGCTATATTAATAAATTTACAAACTAAATCAACAGTTTTTTTAACTTTTCGATTAATGATAGACATTCTGAATTAGTTGTCTAGTCAACTATAGAAATTGAAGAAAAGTAACGTATTTGGTCATATTTAGAAATTTGAAACTTGGTACCTTACTGTTTCGGAAGAGACACCAAATTAATTATATTAACAATACGATACATTTTAAATATAGTAAACGTTTGTAATATGAGAATCTTTGTAAAATACTGGCAATTTTATAGTTTCATTTGTTCGTGACATATCACGTAGATCACGATAATATTTACTTCTATTCAGTTTTTATAAGATGAACTTTAAAGCATGAAGAATGATTGTAACACATATGAATAATATCTCATACAAATTACGGGCACAACAGATAAATCGGTAGTTTTTTTATTTTGTTTATGTCTCTGCTTCTTTGATTTTGTTTGTGAAAGACACACTCCCGAATTTTCTTCTCATAACCTATTTAATATTTTATTCTAAATCTACCAAAGAGAAATTTAACGGTGAAATGAAATGTTAGTTTATTGCACGATTATATCTGATGGAATTCTGCCGTTATAATGGATTGCGACTAGACCATTGTGCGCTTAAATTTTAGAAGAAATAGGTTTCGCTTAGAATGACAGAATATATGGATAGTTTCTGGCGAAAATAGTGCATAATTAAGTTGCTCGATCTTTTCCTCTGTTTGCTACGAGAACAATTTAAATCGCTACTGAATATCGAATTTTTGCTAGAATACTCTCGTATTGTACTTGCGAGGAAACGTTCCCAACTGCCAAATCGCTTTCGAGCCGAAATCTAGCTGACTATAGGTAGTCGAGTATGCTGATTCCGAATATCAATATGAGACTGGCTGCTAGACCTCGAGAGACTGTTTTTTTTGGAAAACCAGTCTTTCAGAAACTCTAAAAAATAACCGAAACCTTTCTTAATAAGGCATGATTGTAGTTCGCAAATTTTTGATTAAAATGAGACATCTCCCAACTCTACACGACCTTTCTTTGCAAAGTTATAGAATTTACAAGGAAAGCCGTAAATGTTCATTATTAGCTCAAAGCTGCAGAAATAAGAAGAAATTAATTTGGGCTTTTCTTGTAAATTCTATAACTTTGCAAAGAAAGGTCACGTAGAGTTGGGAGATGTTTCATTTTAATAAGAAATTTGCAGGCTACAATTATGTCTTATTAAGAAGGGCTTTGGTTATTTTTTAGAGTTTCTGTACAGAAAACAAGTCTCTCGAGGCCTAGCAGCCAGTCTCATGTTGATATTCGAAATCAGCATGGTCGACTACCTATAGTTCACTAGGTTTCGGCTCGAAAGCGATTTGGCAGTTTGAAACATTTCCTCGTCAGTTGAATTTCTCACAACGGATCTATTGCATGTTAGGTTTTTATTGTGATTAATTTACGCTTTCTATGATAAATTCAGCAGTTGCAGCTTTAATGCTAACCATATGCGCTGAAGCATCAAGATTTTTGAAAATGTACGGTAGCTCAGTGACATTTTATCAACCATCCATTGCTTTTACTTCATTGATTTGTTTGTGTTGCCTTGCTTGAAAACGAAATGCTTCATTCTCTGCTTCCCACAATCTGAGACAAACTATGTATTCCAAGTAAATAAGGACAAACACTAATAGCAAATGTACTACTGAAATGAAAGGAAATTAGAAAACCAATAGTGCCACTAGCTACTGAAACTAGTAATATTAATTAACAGTGTGAGTATTCATATTTTTTTCTTGAGAAGAAATGCAACACATTTTTTAGATGATATAGTATGATATCATGTCGTATACTAAAGCTGGTGCCTATTTTTTCAATGACTGTAAAAGCACACGCATTGTTGTAAGAAAATAGATACGATATATAGATATTTGTGTCTGTAGAAGTGTGGTGAATAGGAAAAGGTAAATGTTTCTCCCTTGTTTACTTAGGATGTTGATAGAAATATAATGTGATAATGAATTCATTTTTAAAGAGTTTGTATTAATGCGTTCGTCCTCTGCAGATATCGTCAAAACCACTTATTTAGTTCATTTACAAGTATTAATATAGCAATCAGATCGTTTCATTTTCTGATTTCGTCTCGATTCTTCCCTAATTACTCGTTCTCACTTTCGATGTCCCCTTTGACGTTGTCTGATGTTACAAAGCCAATTAGAGACGAATCGAAAGGATACTTCATTTTCTTGCAAACTCTATAAGTATATTGCTGGTACCTACTATTCATAGTTATAATTGATTTGATGAAATTTTTCTAAATTATTTTGAAAAAAAGAAAAACTATTGATGCAAGAAACGAAACGAAAAGCTACACAATTTTTGCAGTTATGGATATAAAGTTCTTTATATAAAACAAATTTGTTATAAGAGGCTAGTTTGGGAAGGAAAACAAAATCATTACGTAATATAGTTTAGTCAGACAGAGTATATTTGATTAGTTAGTTCACTAGTGCTCTTCCAGACTATTTGCTGGAAACATTTTCCAAGTGTAGAAAATTCATTTTACGTTAGTAATCGGAGTATCTTATATTGTATCACTCAATTTAGTCATCACATTAATTACTGTTTTTTGTTCGATTTCTAGGTCATCAGGACACATTGCTACTTCATCATCTGACAGAAAATAGCCCATAATGGCTGTCGATCGTACAATTCGTATTTTAATAATTTCATGTGGTATATTGAGCTTAGTGTCTGTTATAATGTGTTTATACAGTATATCGACAGCCAACTGGTATCATAGTTCGATACAACGTATTGGTCTATTTCATACATGTAATATAACAATATCAAAAACAGCTAAATGTGAGAAAAACATTTATGCGAATTCAAATCAATATTCGAACGATCCTGTCAATGGTGTTTATCAATTGACATACAATAAACGATTTCGTGGTAGTGGAGGATTAGCAATTGTCGCTGTAATATTTCAGATAGCCTCAATCATTCTAAGTATTTATGCATCAATTATTTTCCTGCCAAATCCATCTGTGACCTGTTGGATATTGCCAATTATACAATTTGTTGTGTCATTATTCATGTTAGCTACGTTAAGTGAAGCATCCTATGGTATTAATATGAACGGGCAAAGTTCAAGTATTTATGAAGCAGCACTTGTTAGTACAATGGCTTCAACAATAGTGGCATCAATAGCAGCCGATAGAATTAATAAATTAAGCACATAGAGAATTTTTGGTAATTGGAGAAAATAAATAATCTGTGTTATTATTATTAATATATATAATACTTTTTTTTTTTTATCTCTGTATGCATAAGAATATAACGACAAGATAATCTGATTGCTCATTTGAATCTTAATATAAGATAATCTTTTAATGTATTAGTTTCGTCAAATACTGTGCCCCCCCTCCAAGTATGGTCAAAGAACTGTATGACATCCATTTCTCTAGCATGTATATACTGTCTAATATGAAAAAACTAAAAATAGCGTAGATACGAAAAACAACAATGTATTAAAGCTATGCTAAATATGGATAGTTGATAGTTCTCATGTACCATCCCATAATCTCTGAAACTAAGCCAACACTTTAAATCGGAAAGAGTTAATCGCTCTGTTTTACTATGTGTGGTTTGACATTCATATTCGAAAACCAATTATAAGATCGAGGTTTTGAAATGAGAAAAAATATGAAATATCAAACGTCACAAAAAAAGCTCTTGCAACGTATTGTTTTCTTTATTTTTGCTGCTACAGCCTGAAAAAAGGTTTTCTGGAAGGCAAATAGATAATAAGAATGTAGGCCGTGCAAAGCTCCATCGATTCCTCTACTTTGGAAAATCTATCACTAATTTGCTTTATAGAAAACGAAACGTATTGTAAACTGAGTATTGGAAGAAAAAAAAAGTACCATTTTTCAGGAGAACGACAGCACATCAAGAAAATCGAAAAGATTAAAACTAATGTAAGTTTGTACAGAATTGAGTGCTGTTCCAGAAAACGTCTTTTAGCAAAAAGGACGGAAGTCCGTTGAGTATCTTGTTTTTTTTAACTTTATTTATTTAACGGCAACAGCAAAAAATACAAAGATAAGAAGAGCAGGCAAATCGAAATAAAATCATTATATGCCTGGATGTATTCGACAAAATGAGACATTAATAAAACAGATAAGAGAGTAAAAAGAAAAAAATGAGAGATGGTGATGAGAGAGATAGAGAAATTTAAGTAATCAGAGAGAACTTCATCCATGTGACACTGTGTAAGAACAAACAATACAAAAGCATCAAGTCAATCAAAGCGTTTAGTTGAACGAATATATTGAAGAATAAAATTAAATATTGATAGTAGGTCATTTCTATTCAATGTACAGATAGAGTGATGGTGGAGTAGTATGTGATCTAAAGTGATAGGGGAATTTATAATACCGCATATCTGTTGAAACATATCCTGTCGCTGCTCTTCATAATCAATACATTCCAAAAAGAAGTGTTTTACTGTTTCCTTATCAGCACCATAGTTACATACCGAGGACTGTGCTAAGACATGAGTGAAAAGAGGTGCATTTAACTGAGGAAAACTTAGTCTACAGCGTGTATGGTGAATTTCAAGAGAACGATCCTACAATAGACTTCAGTATCTAAAACTTGTTAATTAAGTCTAATTAACTATATTTCTAAAACTAATGAAAAACTTGTAAATTTCTGATTAAAAGATGGATCAAAAGATAATTTATCATACTTAAAAGTAGGATAAAAATATTTCTAGTCATTATAATTACTTAATCTCAAATGTATTTCTGTGGAAGGGAGAAATATGTTTGAAGAGGGAAAAAGTTGCAAGAGCATTGTTTGGTACTTAAAGTTTTTCATATTCAAATTCAATCACAAAAAATTTTGTTTTCTACGTCTTTTGAAGTTTAGACTTTTCACTAGAAGGCAAACAATTCACCAACATATCGAAAACATGCAGAAATAATATTTGACATTTTTTTCAAGACTTTTTCATCGTAGACTGTTAACCGATAGGAAAAATAAAATTTTGAATACTTTCATTTTCTGATCAAACTTTCGCATCATTGCCTACTCTGTCTCTCTTCCTGAGTCTACGCTATGAAGTTCTTCATCTTGTGAAACGAGATAGGATTCATTCTTTAGGAAAATGGATGAAACTTGTAAGAAATAATATTTACAAAATCAAATTGACGATGAGACAATTATCTTAAAATTGTCGCAGATGATCTGTGACATACATAATTTAATAAGGTTAATTATTTATAATAAATGAATAGACCACAACAAATAATTAATTTAACCTTTAATCTAACAATTTTTTTTCTTTTTCTTCTTCAGATATATAGAACAGTAGATAGTTTCACTCTCGATGAGTAGAACCATACTGATTTTAGCATTTATTCATATAATTAAAAATACAATTTCTTTTTTCTGTAAAATAACAAATAATAAATTGTCTTTTTTGAAAGGATACTAAATAATGATTTTTCTAACAACTTCTAAAGTTATATTGACATTATGTTTATATAAAAATAATGTCATGTCACTGTCTATTTTCAGAATGTTCACGTTCATCCAGTTTGACTTGCTCCAGGTAAATAATATCACTCGTCGAAATATTTGTTACTTTTTATCCATATACTTACTGACTTGTCTAATAATATAGAAAAAACTATTATTATCATTATTCGAACAGGTTTTGATGATTATTTTCTTCCTTGATGTCAAGATGGGTATATAAAATGTATGCGCATAAATGAATGCTTAATAATAAACGCCGAGAAACTAATATTTTCTTGTTATTTAATCCTCATAGATGATAACGACCCTTAAAATCTCTATCAACACTATTATTCGACATACGAAAGAAAAAAATAAAAGCAAGCAATGAAGATCTATCTGTATGTATATTAACCGAACACTTTTTTTTTTTTTCTTGTCATTTCATACCATAAAGATTTACTTCATCTATTTTTATATTTCATATATATACACAATTGTTTTTATTTTGTTGTGGGCAATAATTTTTTTTTTTTTTATTTTCTTTGTTTTTTTCTGTATCATGTTGATAAGAGAAAAAAACAGAGACATCTCATTAACATGAAAAAAAAAATTTGTCGATAGATATTAGCGAAGAGGTAAAAAATATGGATGACAAGAATAATAATTTTTTTTTCGTCTTATAACATTAACACAAATGTTCATATTACACGTGAGATATATTCTGTAAATTTTTTCATTGATATTATTATTGTGGTTGTTATTGTTGTTATTTATTTTAAAAAAAAAAATATCATTTTTATACTGTTGACTGATATATTTCATCACTTATACAATTATTGTTATTTTCTAGATTTTTTTATAGTCGACAAAAAATTGACTTCATCGTCAAATTGTAATTGTGTGTGTGTGTATGACACATATACTTAATTTATATCGACATTATCGTTAGAAAATCTATCGTTTCATCTCTTCTTTATCCCTCAAAATAACTCTCAAAATAGTTTCATTACTTTTTTTCATTCATGGGCGTTATACGGGTCGCCCAAAAAATAAAAGCGAATGACAGTTCAGCCAAATATTCAAGATTGGGTATATATTTTGCATGATATTTGCTGTGACTTTTGCATGATAACAGGTTAAAATTTGTTTTTCCTACCATATTATTTGTTTTTGTTTTGTTTTTTTTTGTTTTATTTGATAATATTTATTAGCAAAAAATTTTCCAAAAATTTAGTAAAAATAATATTGATTATAAATTAAAAAATAATATTAGGAAGTAAATTTTCATCACTATTACAATGTGTATTAATCGGCAGGATTTCTGTTAAAGACTATTTGATGAATATTCAACATAATGAAAACAAGAGTATGATACAAAACCTTGAGAGATTGTTGTTTTTCGAATCGGTATAATTTTTTATAACATTAAAGAACAGAACAAGTGCATATTGTTCTCGTATACATAGGTGTGTATCATATGTCTTATTATACTGGTGTATGTCTATATTGCGTAGATGTATCCGTCAAGGAGATTATGGTATTTAAAACAAAAAGGGAAAAAATTGTGATGAAATCGGCAGTGGTGGTAGAAAATTGACAACGTTTCCATCAAAATGATGTATTAAATAAGACGGATAGACAAATTTGAAATTTTTTTATTAAAAAGATGATAAAATTTCATCTTATTTTCGTAATTAATATCTCTGTGTTTCCTTAGTCTTATGCAATAAGAAAGTACTGTTTTGTCTTACACTTTTATTTCCCATGTTAGTGTGTACTATTTCATATTTGAATTAATTTTGAATTTTTTTTTCCATTCTTCGACAAAGTTGTTTATAGAAGGGATCAACGATTATATATAATCGTACATGTGACTACTATGATTATCATGCACGAGTAGAAAATATTAAAAAATATTTTTACTCTTGCAATAATCTTAGCTTTTCAATGTTTTTTCCAAGATATTTCTTAACCAAAGATGTTGTCTAGAAGTAATGTTGATAGAATTTAATCAAATGAAGAATTTCATTCTGTAAAACTGTTTTTTTGTTAATGACATCTGGATCATTTACACTGTAAAAATTCCAAGACAGATAGAGAGAGAGAGAGAAAGAGAGATAGAGGACAGGAAAGAGAGAATTAGAGAAAGAGCAAGGGTCATAAAAGAAAAGATGGTTTTCGTTTTCACTTGAGATTGTTATTTTATTATTATTCTAGAAAAGGAAAAGTTGTTACATATCTCGCGATTAGATTAGCGTTTGTTGCTGCATTATTTGTATAGACATACATCTTTTGTAGTAAATATTAAAAGGCATTGAAACAAAAGATAAGGGTTTTGTTGTATCCACTAACAACAACAACAACAATGTTATCAACAACTATGGTAGATAAATCATGCGAACGTAAAAAAAATACGAATTGATTTCCCAAATATTTATGTTGATACCATGCATATTCCCATTCGAATCATTAACAACCAGACACACTCATCATCATCCTCTTTTGCCATTTAACATTATGTTTGATAAATAATAACAAATAAAAGCGAAGTTAAGCGAAAAAAGACGATGTTATTCATTGGTAGAGTAATTAATAATAGTAGAGAAGAAAAGAAGAACGGATAATATTATTAGATGAATCGTCTATAAGATTAGTTTTTGACAACTTCGCTTAATATCTTTTATTAGAAGGAGAGATGTGAAGAGGAGGGTGTTGTATTGATTGACGTTGGATATTAATCAAATACATACATATAAGAAGATAACTAAAATTAGACATTATGATGCAATTTCTTCTTTGTTTTCTACATGCTAAACTAATTGAATAATCTGACTCCAAGGACAACTGTATTTTAACAGCTAATTAAAAACTATAGAAAAACGATGTCTAGGCAATTCATTTCATTTTATATGTCATGAACTATTGAGAAATTTCTTATTTGTATTATCATCGAGATATATCGTATGTGAGAAGTGTACAAGGTGGAAAAAAAGTAAAGTACTAAAACTAACTAATCTTTAATAAAATCTATCTTCTAATTAATCCACAATGGTTTTTATTCGTTCGAAAGGCAACAATTGAATATTAATCATAGTTGTGACTGCAATTAATTTGCTTCAAGATTATGACACATTGATGAGTTATTCGCTGTGAATATTCTTTATATTTATTTTCAAAAGTCTATTTCATTGACTTTATTTTAGCGCTATTGATCATGACAAAAGTATGTTTATTACATTTTTAATGTAAAAAGACATACGATGAAACCGATTGAAACCTAGTAACTTCTTTTTATTGTAAAAAACTATTTTCTCAAGCAAAATACACTTAAATCCAAGTTTAAGTATATTTTTATTTTTCTTCAAAAATTTTAATTAATGCGTTTACTTACTATGTTTTTGAAGCAAAACGCATTTTTTTTTTTGATTCTAGATAGTCAAAATTTGTTACTATATTCATATATCATGCTCTCTTCTCATTTTTTTTTAAAAATTTCATAAATTTTCTTGATCGATCGTTCCTATTGAGTCGTTAAGACTCAAGGATATAGTCCTCTTACTATGGACAGTAGTACTTAGGCTAAGTATCATAGTCTATTCCGTTTTTTTTTTTCTAAAAACGGCATTAAACACATTCTAGTGGAATACTAATACCTATAAAAAGAAAAAATCAATGGGATAGTTTCTTTTTTTCTTCTTCTATTCATCATTCACAATAAACGGTTATGCAATTTAAGCTTTATAGTATTGAGATATGTTGTACATCTGGTACCCATTCATTTTCTATTCGAAAAATACTTTAAAATATTCTCTCAGATGTCTTGTTCTCTGATATAAAAAAAGAATCCACAGAGAACAAACCGCAACTATAGAAAGATTCACAACGAGAAATATTTCTTTTTGTTTATTTTTCAATCCTAAAGTTAAAAATTCTTCTTTAAAATTAAACTAAACATGTAAGACAATATATATTTTTTTAAAAAATTCTGTTTTTTTTTTCTTGTTTTTTTTTTAAAATTCAATTTGAGTTGAACAAACGAGAGTAAAGATTTTTCAACTATAGATCCATAGACTGTAGGTAAAAGGAGAGAAGTAAGACGGTTTTTATAAATATCGTTCTAATAAGGAATTTAACACTTTCCTTTCATAAGCGAAGTCTCTCTCTCTTTGTTTCATTTCGTTGTAAAATATTAATGTTCAAATTAATTAGCGATTCTTAAGTTATTTTTAACGCTGCATGATCATCATCATTCCCGTAAATAAAAAATTTGTCCCAATTCACATTAACCGTCCCTTGTACCCTAAAAAATTTTCTTCTTTTTTTTTTTTTTTTTTTTTCAAAATTCATCAAAGAGAGGAAATAGAAAAAAAGAGTGAAACACAGACTATCTAGTTTTCTCTTGTCATTATACTTTTTTGTTCAAGAGAGACCTTACAAACAAATCATCAAACAGCGTAACATATTAAAATTTCTTTTTAGTTGAAAAGTATCCCATTTTGTTATTCCTGGCGGGTGAGCTAAAAATTTATTTCCAAATAATTTTTTCATGTAAAATTTTATAATTTGTTATTGAATTATATACCGGATTGTAGTCAGCTCTTCTAATTTATAAATAAAGATTTCGTCCAACATATATTTTATTTACAATAGACAAATATTTTTAAAGATGTTATCAAAAAAATACATTAGACAAGTAGATAATTTAATAATAAAATGTCCTAAATCTGAATGCTATTGTAATTTCAATAATCTCGGGTCCATCATTTCAACAGGACTTCAAATAAATTTTCTTTAAAATGTATTTTTTTGAGTAATTCTAACTTAAAAGTGAGTGAAAAACTTCTTAGATAATTTTTTATTTGTGTTATCCTAAAATATTTTCTACAATTTTCAAGTGACAAAATGAAGATATTTTCTTTTGAACAGATAGTCCCTACTCTAGTGAATAGTTTGACATATATTACATCTTACAATAGGTTAACGCATAAGTATACGCAATAGTATCGGTTTTGTTTTCTCTCTGATCATTTGTCTAATATATTTTTTTGACAACATCTTTAAAAATATTTGTCTATTGCAAATAAAATATGTTCGACGAAATTTTTATTTATAAAAATTAGAAGAGCAGAAAATTGACTACAATCTGGTATATAATTCAATAACAGATTATCAAAGTTTACAGGAGAAAAATAGTAGATAAAATTGTTTGCAAACTTTCGACTCACTCATTATAAAACAATTATCAGTAAACTATAGTTTTAGTCTATAGTTGATGAATTATCAATTTATTTTTTGACTACATGCATACTTGATACATAGTAGAACAATTTTGATTGTAAATGTAATTCTTTTAGAACAAAAGAATTTTTAATACCAAAAAAGAATTTTTGACATATTAAGCTGTTTGATAATTGGTTCTTAAAATTCAATATGCAAAACTTAGTAGAAACTAAATCACTGTATTCTTCTCTCTGTTTATGTTTTTTTCGGGATGCAAATGACTATGGTTCGAAAATAGGCCAATCTCCCAGTAGTAGTAGTGTTATTCGTCGTTGTTGTTGTCGTCGTCATCATAAGGAAGTGCAAGAAGAGAATAATAATTATGATATGCATTCAAGAGTAACAACATGTTATTCTTGTGTACCTGTTTCAATTCGATTACAAAGTAATAAAGATCAACAAGTAACAGCACAATTACTTTATCAATATGATCCAAATGATCAAGAGGTAATGAGAGAAAACACGTTTCATTGTCAGAAATGATAATGAAGTGTATAGAAACAAAGTTTTTTATTCTAAAGTTCTATAGAAAATATCCTGAGATGTTCATAGTGTTTTTTTTCTAATATATTTCATTCAAGTGTAGTTTTTATTACACCATTGCAAATCTACTCAAAGTAGACATCAGAGATTAGTTAATTCTTTCATAATGAATAAATGACAGTCGATGTATGAACCGAAAGTATCATGAAAAATAATTCCAAAGCTATAGAAGATTTTTGATCACCGGGATACTATCGAATATTTGCATAATTTCTACTAAACGTCTGTCACTAGCTTTTTGCTATTCGGTCTGTTCACGTAACGCGTGATTTTGTCACGATTTTTGTTGTTTTGTGAGTCTCTTCACGTTCGAACAATAGGAAACCAAGGAACTGTTTACATCTAGTCTTGTAGAGAAAAGTGAGCTGAACAAAATGAGATATTTTCTGACTCTGCAGAGTAATATTCGATAGTATTCCCGTGATCAAAAATCTTCTGTAGCTTTGGAATTATTTTTCATGATACTTTCGGTTCATACGGTCTAAATAGACCTTGGTGGGTAGGGTAGTACAAGGGTTAATGAAAATGAGTTACTGATACAATAAAACAGCAGCATGTGGCAGCTGATAAAACACTTACTTCACGAGGGATGGATGTTTAGTATAGTTATGGATATTGGATCTCAAGTGAGAATCTTCTTATTAGACTATCTAGGATGGAACCATAGTTAGTATCAGATCCATAATCTGAAGATGGTACAAATTTCTGCGTATGACATACTGCCTCTTACACAGGATTTCTCCCTCGAAAATATATAGTTACACCTTAATGAATCTAACGAAAGTATTCCGCTAAATGAGCAAAAACAGTTATCTAGATACATCTGGTAAAATGGTTGTACTAGTGGCACGAGACGATGCATCACTTGAAGAAGTTATCGGTAGCGGAACGTCTTAAAACGTGATGTGTTTGATAAATTAGTCTATCTTACGTCAAGTAACAACTTTTTCCTCACGATCTTGAAATCTAGTTCAACTAAATGTATCTAGCAACGAATCACTCAGTGAAAAGAAAAACGTTCTATTGATTGGGTTTTACGTATCTATGAGAGACAAATTCACTAAATATACATACTTCTGGAATGATATGAGCGGAGAAGATGTTTTCATAAGTATTGTTATACTTGATCTGCAGAGGTAGATCTGTATCTGTTTGAGCATATGTGATATTTTTTATAACAGCTCGATGAAAGTAATATATAAAGAGATTCGTCAACATGCTGATATATTGAAATTGACACAATGATGATTGACAAGTAACTATTGAATATGGTAGATGTTTTGCCCTATTCTATAAAAATATTTATGGTTAAAAATGCACAATAAAATAGGATAATTTAATATACTATAGTTTGTATTGTGTAAAACTCAAAGCTATACAATGCTATCGGCGAAGACGAAAAAATGTACAATATTCACATCTACATCGGCTATTTTATTTTTTAATGCTGATATGGTATTTTTATAAATTTGAATGTTTAAATTCTTCTGCGCTTTTGTATTCATAGCCTCACCCGTCATTATTTCCATAATTTATAGAAATAAAACATATACATATTAACAAAATCATTTTTTTTTCTTTTAGCTTGAACATTTTACCGAAGAACAAATTCAAGGTATCATTCTTTTTTTTCCTAAACATTTAACAAAAATTTGCTTTCTTTGACTAGCTAAAATTATTTATCAAATTTGTCTATTTAGAATTTCGACAAGCATTTTTATTATATGATAAAGATTCTGATGGTGCAATTTCTCCAAAAGTGCTTGGTAGTGTAATGCGAACATTAGGTCAAAATCCGACCGAAGACGAATTGAAAGGATTAATTAATGAATTTGATTGTGAAGGTAAAAATTGTATAAGCGCAAACACACACACTCTCTTTCATTATAATCGTTAAATGTATTTTATTTGGATATTAAAAGTCATCATCTACTTTATGTTTCGACTTCATTTAATTGATGACTTCATAAAGGTATACACTTGTTAGCTTAAACATCTGTCATTGTGTTAAACACACTTTTTAGTCTACTGACACAAATGACGTATGTGTATATACATCAGAATATATAGTATGTGTGTAGAGAAAACGGAAATATAGTTAGACGTTTCAATGTTATAGATCGCTTAAGAATTCTCTAATTTTCAATGCTTCTTTATTCTGCTAAAAGTTTTTGTCTCTGTAGACTAAAGAGTGTATCTATAGAAGAAGTTTAAATTTACTACCATCCCAGGCACGAATGTATACCCGCTAAACCACACGGGTATCCGCGTGTGATTTTATTTTATACAGGGCTCATGTCGGTTCATGCGGATATCATACCGGTTCTCGCCGGTGGAGCGCCGGTAAACTGGGGGTTTTAACCGGTTATTCACCGAAAAACCCCGCGGGTCTCGAAGTTTGTCAATTTTTCGCTCGCTTTTTTGTAAAATTAGCATAAGCGGTTCTCACCGGTCTTGATTGCCGTTGTCTGCGGTTATCCATGAAGCATATACGGTCACTGTGGTTGCTACTGAAATAACTTTAGAAACGGCGGGTATCGGTGAGTGGTTTTTTTCTTGAAGAAATAACCGCCGGTCAGTGCGGTTGGGTAACAACAACTCATTCATCGATTTATTTTGCGATACTATTAGTTATATAAGAACACAAGTTTTGTGCAGTTGACATATAATTTTGAACTTTTATAATTTCTGTGTAGTCAACATAATAAATCAGAGAAAATGGTTCCCAGAAAATCAGTAACACTCGCTTTTTAAAAAAGGCAGTGTGCACAGCCAGATCTCTCTCAATATAGAGAGACCAAAGGTCAGACCCAAGAACGTTTTACTCAAGGTTTTCGCCGGTTTTGAGCGTTCTTGTTCTCCTTAGCTTAAAGCAAGCTTTAGGAGAGAAAACCATCTTGATAGGCGATTCTAGTAAAAAATTTTCGAAAAACTATGATCAGCGAGAACCGCGGATGCGTTTTAAAAGGGAGCGGATGAATTGCTCCCTTTCTAAAATAACCGCCGATCTAGGCGGATCTCTTTTCTTCCAACCTCTGTGAATCGCAGTTTTATACAAAAAGTAACTGCCTTCATCTGCGGGTAAATGGAAAAGTGCGATTCTAGCCAATTTAGCACACACGTAGATCTCTGCGGTTTTCACCAAAATACAACCGCCATGAACCGCTGCTATATCCCAACGATGCAAAAATAATATCAAAAACACACCCGCGGTTTTTGTATGAGAGACCGGTTATTGTGTCGCAAATCGTCGGTTTTGACCGGTTTTTCTGCTTGAAAATGAACCGATGTGACCCGTATTTTCGATCGGTTTTTTCTATTAATTTTCGTGTACGGGATACATCTGTGTGGATTGAAAATGAAATTAGAACATAAAGTGGTTGAAAAAATTTTGCTAGTCACTATATGATGTGATATTTGTTTCATGTAGGGAAGGGTTTGATTGATTTTAATGAATTTTTACAAATGATGGCCAAACGTGCAAATGAACACGAATCAGAAGAAGATGAACTTCGAGAAGCATTTAGAGTATTTGATAAAAATGGGAATGGATTTATTAAAGTGGCAGAATTACGGTAAATAATGACGAAAATAAATATAGTGTGTTCGAGCTATACTCGAAAATTTAGTTTGATCTGTTAAAAATAACGTCTCTTTACTGATCGAAAATTACTGAAAAACTTTTATACCTTTTTTAATTATCTACAGACGAAATTATTTATTAGTAAAAATACTTTCTTAGATTATAAAATGTAACAATTTATGCTTTATTTAGGCACGTGATGACTAATTTAGGTGAACAATTTTCCGATAATGAAGTTGATGAAATGTTGCGTGAAATTGATACAAGCGGTAATGGAATTATACGTTATGAAGGTAAAAAACGTTTTTTTTTTTTTTCTTTTAAAAAATACATAGTTTAGATTTACTTTTTATCTTTTCTATATTTAGAACTTGTAAAACTTGTTATAGGAAAATGATGATTTCGTCTATATTATTCTTCATTTGTTATTATATATAATCTATCTGTGATATAGTATGATGGACAATGAAAAAGTGTGTTCAAATCTATATATTCTTGTTTTGTTTTTATTTTTATTGGAAAAATGTGCTCATATAAAAATATGTATGTATAACACAAACAATACTCAATTTATCTCATTCCGCTTATATATGCATCATTTAATACATGAAACGAATCTCACAATTGATGCATAATTTTATATACGATCATTATTAAAATACGAAACAAATGTTTGATGTTATATTCTTATGTTAGCCTAGTTGGCTTCTGAATACTACATATAATAATAATATATACAGATTCTTTTGGTACATATTATTCCATTTATCTTATTTTTAAAAACTTTTAATAAACTTGTATTGTTCATTTTCAACTGTTAACGTTCTGTATCATTTTTATTCCGTTTTTTAATGTTGTTCTTGCAAAAAGAGGAAATATTACGATCTAAACTATAAAATTGAATCAATTCTAATCAAACAATTAAATAATTTACAATACAATACATTACACATACTAATTGAAAATAAAAAGAAAAAATTTATGTTTTAAACCATTACGTCAATATTTTCAATAAAAACTTTGAGTATGTAACAGAAAATTCTTTAGAAATTCTTTAGCAGTTATATACAATAGTTCTGATTGTTTGATAAACATATTTGAGTAAAAACAAACGTTGTCTATAATTTTATGTTTATATCATTACGCTTCGAATTCTCTTCTAAATATTCCAGGCATAAATTTTGCTACCGATGTTTTTCTTGTTATTCTTGTATTATGACTGCTGTCGTTGTCTAATGAAAAATAATAATTTTTTTGATGAAATTTATCGATAAACGTTGCTGACATACGCTGTGTTTTTTGTAATAGAATATACAATAGAATGATCTCTAGATAATGTATTAATTTAGAAAATATGGCTACACCAATCAATGCACCATTAAGTGAATAAAAATAATAGGTATAATTTGAGTTTGTACAATGTTCAACATTTTGAAGTAATGCTATGAAACTAACAATAATAACGGCTGTTGAAAATATAGTAGAAATAAAATGAAATATGAATGTGAGAAGAGAGATATTGGCATTTTGTTTCCATAATAGAAGCCAAATTGATATGGGTGCTAGACACAAGATTGGAAATGACCAAAAACCAACACCAATTTTATAAGCACATGTATTTGTTACAGTTAAAACGATTTGTAACGCAAGAATAGCGAATGTTGAAAATAATTGTAATAATGAAACTGAAAAATGTAAGAGAATTTTTAAAATAGATGAAAATTCAAAATGAATATGATCATTAATTAAAATAGGTTGAATATTTGATAATTGAGATGGCTCTTGTTTTCCGATTTTATAAAAATGAGAACGATATGGTTGATATGAAGGTGACAAAATACGATCATCAGGATGAGTATAATACATAACTTTGAGAATCACTAAATTCTAAATAGAGAAACTCGTAATAATAAAACTCAAAAAATATATTTCAAGTTTTAATGTATTATACACTTAATCTTTTCAATCCTTCAGGATATTATCAGATAAAAATCCTTGAATGTATATATAAAAACTTGTTTACAACCATTATGACTTACAGGGATATAATTTGATTAAAACTATTATTTCTACTATGTTTTGAAACACATGTTTATCTGTAGTTAAGCATATATAAATGATTATTTGCATTAAGATCCTTTACTCTTTTTCTTCCTTTATTAACAAACTAAAAATACCATGACTATTGTATAAATTTTATTCTGTTAAACACACAGCAGTCTATAGATCAATTTTTTTTCTCTTCCGCTATAGGAATGTACGATACTCGTTTGCCAACTGAATTTTTTTCTTTCTTCACTTTCTACTTTATAATTACGAATGGATTTAAGACATTATTAAAAGACCATGAATTTTCACTTATTTTTAAAAAAAAAGAGTCCAAAAAGAAAATTCGTTATGCACACATATATATTTATATACCGTACAAATAAATACAATATCGATTACGCACATATTAGTAGGAAAAAATGTCGAAACAAGGACTGGTATAAGAAGGAGTTGTATCTCCAGTTTTAAGTGTCGCTTAACATACACATATATTTCAATCATTTTCACTTGAAGTAGTACAGAAAGAAAGAAGAGTAGTATAGTCACTTGTAAAATATCACCTTTTGAAAATAATATTCACAAAGATATTTCGGTATAAGTGTCTCTTGTATCATGTCCTTTTTTCGATAAAAGTGCGTATTTCAATATATGTTCAATGTAAGAACATCTCTTTTTTGAAAACAAAATTGACTAAAGGTGCACTAGAAAGTCAGTAAAGATTATTTTAAATCAAGTCAAGTTGCAAGAAAGAGAGAGCAACTGCGATCTATATTTATGTTTCCAATATCTTAGATTTATTTGCAAAGCCGTTATACTATTTTACCAAGAGGAAAATATTCTGTGAGTCTTTTCGTTGCAGATTGGTATGAATTTTCAAAATAATGGATAAAATGCACTAAAAGCCAAAAAACATGTGCACTTTTAAGATAATATTGAGAGCTTATTATAATCTTATAGGACACGCGATAGTCACGTATTGTAAAAATCAGCATAATTTTTGATAATCCATTACTTAGTTTACGGCTCACGTATGTCTTAATGCATTTCAGTCTACCAACTTTGACCGCCACCTATGTTAAATAGCTGATATTCTTCACAAATCAATGCCTTTTTATTTAGAAAAGTATCATATGGTGGGAAAAGATTACCGAGATCAAAATAAGCCTGCTTCAATGTGAGCTGTAAAGAGACAAAAAGACAGTTTCTGATTGGCTAAAAAGTCTATTCAGCTTAAAACAAAGATTTTTCTTGCTGCCTTGCGCTCATATATGCATATATAAAGACCATGGCTTCTTTTCGTAGGTTTTATTTTTCCAGCTTGTTTTCTCATTTGTATGAGTAAGCAACGTAGCTAGCTTTTTGCTTTGAGCTTTTAGATGAGGCTACAGCGCCGCAAATAGGTTAATACAGTTTATTCGGTCCTACAAAAACTCACGCTGACACTACTCGTCCGCGATTTCAGCCGATATTCATTGATCGATTATACCCTGATTATTGCTCTGATTTTATCTTTGCAAGATGAGTTCATATTTGATTAGAAACTAAAAGTTCGATAGGGAAAATACGCTGGAAATCTTGATACACGTTTTTCTCGAACACTTTGTGACATGTCCGGACGAAAATATTTTTGTGTTAAAAAATTCTAGCACGAAGATTGTTTGTCTGAATAAACTATCATAGCCTAATTAATCTAAATTTGCATCCAAATCCAATTCTAGTTAAGGCCTAACTTTCTGCGGTGTGCTTTCTATTTTAAAAACGATATTTTACACACACGTCGTCTTCTCTATCACATTACTCATTTATTGCTCAACCTTGTGACATCGGCACCAATCGCCGTTTCCTTCAGAAATTAGTCTGTTTACGTCGACACTTCTAGTTCAATCAAACATACACAGAAACGGGAACGTTTTTCCTGTTGATGTATTTATATTAACTGGAAGAAGCAACGTAAATTACTTGTAGTTTACATTACAATCAATGACACTGATTCACTTTTATCGAAAACATGAACTCTGGCTTATTTTTTGACGGAGATGTGAGGAGCGCGCCTTTATCATGTGATCAACTAGATGATTGAATCACGCTCGGTGCTTGTGGCATCCATAAGCTGCAAAGTGTTCTTTTAGTTGTTTCAGTGTTTGCTACGATTTACGATTTAGTATTTGTTTCAATTTTGTGGCATTTATCATCATATATTGCAGTTTTCTTTCTGCTCATTTAATCATGTCATCAGCATATGCTGATTATGATAATCGACCAATAAAACCATTGAATAAAACTGAGCTGCTGTCAGTATTAGAACAACTACCATTGGTTGAAAGTGATATAAGGTAATTTGTAATCACAAGTGTATTGTTAGATAGTTTTCGTGCCTTATAATTTCAAGTAGAAATAAAACAGTTTGTCTCCTTCCGCATCTACGATGTTCACTGTTGTCCTCGTTAAGAGCTAAGAGTTGGTTTTCTCATTTCTAGTCAAAATAGTAGTTCAAATTGTTCGACAAATCAGCGAACTCCTCCACGTTTGGCTTATTCGACACAACAAAAACCATATCCTTTGTTGGCTAACGTTGCATCTTCATTGCTGACATCTTCATCGCCTCTTAATGTAAAACATTCACTTCCGATTTCATCCCAACGAAAAAAATTACTTTTTGCTTCATCATCAGTCTCAAAATCTATTAAAAGGCCGATTACAAATCAAAAACGTGCGTAAAAATAAATAACCTTTATCTTTCATTTTTCTTGCGCTATAAACAAGGGGTATGTTGAGTGAATAATCAAGCAGTTTATATTAAACTTCGATCTCTGCTCTTTGTGCTCTTTGGTCTTATACTCTACACGTATTTCTCTTGATTTAGAAACAAGTGATTATTGTGTCAAACTTCGCGAAGAACAATTACAATTGAAAAATGAAAATCAGCGTCTTTTGCAGGAAATTGAGTTTTCGAAACAGGTTAGTTTAGATATTTTAGAGAAAGTGTTGTTTATAGTTAGTTCAAATTTTTCGCGCCATGTAGACATTTTTCATCGACCAATCCAACATGAATAGGGTAGATTTATGTCTGCAAACCTCGCACTTAGTTCTCTAGACAATATCATCACTAGGATGAACAAGATATATGTCTGATTTGTACACTGGAGCCTTAAGGGTTATGGCTGCTAAAGCATTTTTCTCTTTTTAGCAAAATCTGATGTTCAAGGAAGAAAATGAAAAATCATTGAATGAATTTAAGACTGGTACGTAATATTTATATAAGGTGCTTCTATTGCTCATTTTGGCATTTATTATTTTCAGAATATCAAAAGCAACGAATTGATTTTGAAAATTCTATCAATGACAGTGAACGTCGACTACTTGAAATGGTGAGTTGATCGCTTTATCCATTTCTGTGAGTGAAAAATTTCATGATAGATATGCTCATACAACTTTTTCATTAGTTGTACAGTGGTAATATGTCTCTTTATCTCATGGTAGTCGACTGACAAACTTTTTGAAGGACATGAGTGTTCTATTTTCTATGCTCTTTGTGAAGTCTAAGCTCAAAGCATGCGTTTCTTTCGAAATAGTTTGCTCCCTACGATATGTTTGGTTTCAACATTGATTTCTAAATTTACGACTAACTCACTGTTTCTGTTGCGCACTACTTGTTTCGAATTTTTTCTTCAGAAATGTGCTCATGAAAATGAATTACTAACATTAAAGCAGCAAATGGATAATTTAAATCAAATGATAAAAGAAAAAACCGACGAATACGAAAAAGTATGTATTAATACACTAAAAAGAGTTAGCTTAACAGTGAAAAGTTTCTCAGCGTACATCACTTCAAACAAACTATAGACAAAATGTGTTTACATCCGCTATGTCAAATCGATGGAAACTAAAGTGCTTGAAATTTTTTCAGTTCTAAATAATGCGCTCGTTTCGTTTTTTTTCTGCAGATTGTTGGCGAATATTTAAAATATAAACAAGAACAAACTATAATCATAAAGTGAGATTTAATATTCATTTAGATCCTATAATGTTGATGATAGTAAAAATCGCAATAGCAAGAACTGCTTTACGTATATGCGGTCTACGATATTTTATATATTTTTTTTTGTTAACAGTGATCTGCAACAGACAGTTCAGAATGTTCAAAAATCGTTTTGTGAGGACCATCAGGTTAGCTAAGTTAACTCCTGCTGTTTTTGTTTTTTATATGTATTCGGAATAATTTTGTTTCAGAATCAAATGGTAGTAGCTGTCAATACTCCTGCAACTAAAATCGCTGCTAATGTGATAGCGACATCAGCAGGTAAAAAGAGTTTGATAGAGAGAAATTGGTTTCATTGGTTAGATATTAGTTAATGTACCGAGTGGTATCATTTTCAGTTTTAGGAAAACTCTCACTGTTTATCAGTTCTCTACAGAAGAACGGAATCTCTTACTATGTGAAAAAAGATGATTGCTTCACGTATGACGAGTAACTAGTATGTCCATATAAAAGTTGATGACTTTCTCCATCGGATAAGGAACAAGTTAATAATTTCAATTACTTAGAGTTCCTAAGAACTGGCAGCAGGTTCCGTTCAAAAGAAGTGAGCTGGTAATCAGATCTTATGACTAGTTCTAAGGAACTATAAGAACTGGAACTGTTTTACCCTTAATTATACAAATGAAACAAAAATATTTAAGTTTATGTTCAGTTTTAGATTTGTTTCCGTTGTAAATAACTTGTTCTACTTTTTTAGTTGATGATTCTTCTTCATCCAGTTCAGTTGCGACACAGTTGAAAGTCAACAATATCCACCCGTCTTTATCATCTCATCAGA